AAAACTAAAAAAAAAGATTTAGGAAATGAGAAATAAGCTAAAAATCTTTGAGCTACAGGGGCTCCAGAATGATACTGGTGACAGAAATATTTTTGGTGCACACCACAGAGTACCAAATAAAAAGATATTCTAGATGTCAAATGTTATAAAACAAGACTTTGGGTAATAATCATACTAAAAGATATACAGTTGGCCCTCCACATCTGTGGGTTCCACATCTGCAGATTCAACCAATCACAGATCAGAAATATTTGGGAGAAAAAAATGAATGGTTGCATTTGTGAACTAAAATAAAATTTTAAGGCTCACCCCCCACCCCCATCGGCTGACTGAACAAACCCCCCCCCCCCCATGGCAAAAGGAATATCCTAAAACCAAACTGCCTGCCAGGAGGAGGCAAGTCAGATATGCCTCATCATGCCCCTCCCTTCTTGGAGACATCCTTTGTAACCCATTAACAGGCCTAAGGACATGCAAGACAAACCCCACAGGTCCTCAATTTACACAACAAATATATGTCCAGTGGATTATCTCTGATAAACAGCTCCTATGTTAAAACTTTCTAATCGAGGGGCGGGATTCTGCCAGCCGCGGCTGCTGCCGCTGGAGCCGGTGTCCGGGCTGGTGATGGGGTTAATTCCCTTTCGTAAGACTCTTACTTGCACCCACCCAGCCCCGCCGTCGCCCCGCCATGCCGCGCTCAGCCGCCTCCTCCTCAGTAACGCGGGGCACTGAAAGTTATGATATATTTGATCCAAGACAGTCCATTCCAGTCCAGGAATCTACAGTGGTGACAAGGACATGGGACTCCTCCTGCCAGATTACAGATGGTACAATACAATTGACATCCTGGCTGACAACTGTGGAAAGGAACCTTGGATTATTTTATTTTATTTTTGTGGAACCCCACAAACCCAAATCCATAGGACACATCAGGCTTCATTCTAAAATAACCTTTGCTGATGAGGATGTCTGATACTGTTACTATAAAAGATGAAACTGAAACAATGAAGGATTTGGAGGCAGAAATGAAAGATACAACCGGAGTTGAAAATATTATCAAATCAGAAAACTATGGAAAGATTTTGGCAGAGAAGAATGACCGTTGTATTGACAACAATATTGATTTGCAGGAGAAAATTCAGATCCCATTAACACAATCATTTGAAAAAGAGGAGAAGCCCTCAAAAGATGAAGCGGAAAAAGAAAAAGCCAGTGATAAGTTGCCCAGAAAAATGTTATCAAGAGATTCCAGTCAAGAATACACTAATTCAACTGGCATAGATCTACATGAATTTTTAGTAAATACATTAAAAAACAATCCCAGGGACAGAATGATGCTGCTGAAATTGGAACAAGAAATTTTAGATTTCATTGGTAATAATGAGTCTCTACGTAAAAAATTCCCCCCAATGACATCATACCATAGGATGCTGTTACATAGAGTAGCTGCTTACTTTGGATTAGACCACAATGTTGATCAGAGTGGGAAGTCTGTCATAGTAAACAAAACTAGCAATACAAGAATACCTGATCAGAAATTTAATGAACATATTAAGGATGATAAAGGTGAAGACTTTCAGAAACGGTATATCCTCAAGAGAGATAACTCTAGCTTTGACAAAGATGACACCCAGATGAGAATACGTTTGAAAGATGACAGAAGAAGCAAATCTATAGAAGAAAGAGAAGAAGAGTACCAGAGAGCTAGAGACCGGATATTTTCCCAAGATTCCCTGTGTTCCCAAGAGAATTATATTATTGACAAAAGAATCCAAGATGAGGATGCTAGTAGTACCCAGCAGAGGCGCCAGATATTCAGAGTTAATAAAGATGCTTCAGGAAGATCAACAAATAGCCATCAAAGCAGCACTGAGAATGAGTTGAAGTATTCAGAACCACGACCCTGGAGCAGCACAGATTCAGACAGCTCTCTCCGAAACCTAAAACCTGCCGTAACCAAAGCCAGCAGCTTCAGTGGAATCTCAGTCCTGACAAGAGGTGATAGTTCTGGAAGCAGCAAAAGCATAGGCAGGCTTTCAAAAACAGGTTCTGAGTCTTCTGGTAGTGTAGGGTCATCTACAGGCTCTCTTTCTCACATCCAGCAGCCTCTTCCAGGTACAGCTCTCAGCCAGTCTTCTCATGGCGCACCTGTCGTCTATCCAACTGTCAGCACTCATAGTTCTCTTTCCTTTGATGGTGGCCTAAATGGGCAAGTTGCATCTCCTAGCACTAGCTTCTTTTTGCTTCCCTTGGAAGCGGCAGGCATACCACCTGGCAGTATTCTGATCAACCCACAAACAGGTCAGCCCTTCATAAACCCAGATGGGAGTCCAGTTGTGTATAATCCTCCTATGACTCAACAACCAGTTAGACCCCAAGTGCCTGGACCTCCACAGCCACCTCTGCCACCCCCACCAACTCAACAACCAGCAGCTAATCACATTTTCTCACAGGATAACCTTGGGTCTCAGTTTAGCCACATGAGTCTTGCCCGCCAGCCATCCACTGATGGTTCTGACCCTCACGCCACCATGTTCCAGTCCACTGTTGTTCTTCAGTCTCCACAGCAATCTGGTTTTATCATGACAGCAGCCCCTCCACCACATCCTCCGCGCCCGCCACACCACCACCCTCCTCCTCCCCTACCACCTGGGCAGCCAGTCCCTACTGCTGGCTATTCTGCCTCTGGTCATCCTGTCAGCCAGCCTGTGCTCCAGCAGCAGGGATATATTCAGCAGCCATCACCACAGATGCCAGCCTGTTATTGCGCTCCAGGCCACTATCACTCCAATCAACCTCAGTATCGCCCAGTCCCTTCTGTCCATTACAATTCACATCTAAACCAACCACTGCCACAACCTGCACAGCAGACAGGTTATCAAGTTATGCCCAACCAGCAGCAAAACTACCAAGGAATAGTTGGAGTTCAGCAACCCCAGAGTCAGAACCTAGTCAGTGGCCAACCCAACAGCATTGGAAATCAGATTCAAGGAGTAGTCATCCCCTATCCCACAGTGCCATCATATCAGGTTTCACTGCCTCAAGGTTCTCAAGGAATTGCCCATCAGACTTATCAACAGCCTGTTATGTTCCCGAATCAGTCTAATCAAGGATCTATGCCACAGCAGCATGCCCTTTACTATAGTGTCATTCCACCTGGCCACCAAAATAATTTAAGCTCTTCAGTCAGTTACTTGCAGCACCCAGGATCAGAACAAGTACAGTTTCCTCGGACTACTTCACCATGCAGTTCCCAACAGCTTCAAGGCCACCAGTGTGCAGCTGTGCCACCACCACCACCTGGTGGAGGAATGGTGATGATGCAGCTCAATGTACCAAACAATCCACAATCTCGTGCTCACTCACCCCCCCAGTGGAAACAAAACAAATATTACTGTGATCACCAGAGAGGACAGAAGTGTGTGGAATTTAGCAATGTAGACAATATTGTCCAGCACAGCTCTCAACTCAGTAGCCCCATTATCTCACCAGCTCAGTCGCCGGCACCAGTTCAGCTGTCTACCCTGAAAACTGGACGTCCCTCTGGACCACCACTTTCTATCATGCCCCAATTTTCTAGACCTTTTGTCCCTGGGCAAGGAGATACCAGGTATCCATTACTTGGGCAACCACTGCAGTACAACTCTCCTGCTGTTCTGCACGGACACATTCCAAACCAACAGAGTCAGCCTGGCAGCAGACATGGAAACCGAGGAAGAAGACAAGCTAAAAAAGCTGCATCCACGGACCTTGGAGCAGGAGAAGCAGTTGTTGGGAAGGTCTTGGAAATAACTGAACTACCAGATGGAATAACTCGCATGGAAGCCGAGAAGCTTTTTGGGGAACTCTTTAAAATTGGCGCCAAGATCCGGTGGCTCGGACCCAGTCCAGCCCAGCTGCGACGTCACCCCCTCTGCTGTGGCAGTGGGGACAACACTGTCAACCCTGAACGCTCCAAACCCAGTGACTTGCCGTCCACATACACCGTCTAGCCACGTTCCCTCCCCATTTCAGCTGCACAGAATGCACTGAAGAAGCAAAATAATCTCAGTTACACAGTTTAAGCTGAGAAAAGCAAGAAGCACTATGACTTTCAAATTTGGAAAAGGCAAGTTCAGTAACAGAGCCACCTTTGGACCCCTCACCTCTGATTCCCTCTGCCCTCTCCCATGATTGCTTGATATTGGAGCTTCTGTTAACATTATAGAGACTCCTAGGAGTGGGTCATGGCGTTATAGCTTGCGAAGAAATGCCAGTGATCCAGCAAAGGGCGCGGGTGTGGGAAGATACACATTTCACCCCACATGACTATAGAATCACATCAGAATGATACAGAGTTAGCAGGTTTTCTAAGAAATGCTGTTCAAATGCCTCCTTTTGTAGTTATTTGTTTATATTTCTGAATTCTTGTATCAGATCCAAAGCTTATTGTACAGCAAATTATCCTTCAAAATGGTTATAACCAGTTGCAACCTGTATTTCTTTTGCAGCCAGCACAATGTGACCCAACTTAGAATTTGGGGGAAAAGAATGCAGGGGGTGGAATAACTAATCAAACCAGTTTATCTTCTCTGGGAGTTAGAGGTGCTAAGGAGAGCCCACAAATAGAAGATTACTCTTCCCTGAGTCTCTAAACACAGAAATAATTTCCAGAAAATACAGAACTCTTCCCCACAGGGTTCTTTCCTTATACATTTAGGTAGTATGAACATTAAGTATAAAGTAAATTATGTTTTTAATGCCTCTTAATCAACCACTTAGATTCAAAGGGAAAGGAATCATTTTAGGCAGGAAATATTCCTTTTTTTTTTTTTTTTTTAATGTGTCCCTCCAGTAACTAAATGCCACTTTATTTGCATTCTCCTCCTTGTGGATTTTTTGTCAGCTAAGGAAATGTGTTTGATGAGTGCTGGAAACTTCTTCAGTGGTTTACAATTTGTTTTCATTGTTTGCAGCGGATCACTGGACATCAAAGATTCATTGCACTTATGAACAAGGAACCTTTTTTTCAATCTCTGTGTAATTTGCAAGGCTGTACAATGTGTGCTGATGAAAGCCTTTTTCAGTTCAAAAGAATAAATGTTTACAAATATAAAAAAAAAAAAAAAAAAAAAAAACTTTCTAATCCATTAGACAAAACTTCATGTCTTTAACCAATTACAAGCCAGAGAATGTTTAAACACACCTATAACCTGTAAGCCCCTGCTTAGACATGGCCCACCTTTTCAGGCCAAACCAATGTATGCCTCCCACATATTGATTTATGACTTTACCTGTAACCCCTGTCTCTCTGAGATGTATAAAACCAAAGTGTATGTAACCCAGCCACACTGAGTCCACTTGCTCAAGGCTTCTTGAGCGTGGCTCCAGGTCCCGGTCCTCAAATTTGGCTCAGAGTAAATCTCTTCAAAATTGTTTTACAGAGTTAGGCTTTTTTACCATTGACACATTTATACTGAACATGTACAGATTCTGTCAATATTTCCTAAACAATACACTATAACTATTTACACAGTATTTACATTGTATTAGGTATTATAAATAATCTAGAGATGATTTAAAGTATATGTGAGGATGTATACAGTTTATAATAAGCAAATACTATACCATTTTATATAAGGGACTTGATTATCCATGCATTTTGGCATGGGGTGGGCTTGTCCTGGAACCAATCCCTCAGATATTGCAGGACCACTTTACTTTGAAGGAAACTAAAATGTTCCATCCCAAAATATACTTGTCATATTCTGAAATGCCTGTTCAGAGGGCCTGCAAACAGAAGTAGCCTTGCAGAGCTGCCTTTTGAAAGAGATTTCCTCTGCAGAGAAAATCTGCACTGATGCAGCCAGGCTCTCTCTGGGGGCCCTCCCTTGTCCAGATGTAGAAAAAGATTAACTGAGAGTCAGACACCTTCAAAGGTCAGAAAGAAACATTTACCATCTATTCTCTCTGAGGGCTGCTCCCTTTGATGTTTCATCTGCACAACAAAGACCACTTCTGCTAGCCAGGACTCTTCTTCTCGCCCTCCCACAACCTGTTTTGCCATGCTCCAAGCTTCTACTCTTTCAGCAAAATGAAAACAGTATAAAAGCATCAACCATCTAGCCATTTCTTTGAGTTTCATATTTTGCAAGACTCCCCTGCACATTAATAAATTTGTATAACTTTTCTCTTATTCATCTGCCTTTTGTCAGCGAACCTTCAAGAGGGCAAAAGGGAAGTTTTCCCTTAGCCCCTACAACTTCATCCTCAATATATAGTTTTTGTTTCGTTTTGTTTTTTTTGAGACAAGAGTCTCACTCTTTTGCCAGACTAGAGTGCCCTGGCTTCAGCCTAGCTCACAGCAACCTCAAACTCCTGAGCTTAAGCAATCCTTCTGCCTCAGCCTCCTGAGTAGCTGCGACTACAGGCATTCGCCACCATGTCCGGCTAATTTTTTCTATATATTTTTAGTTGTCCAGCCAATTTCTTTCTATTTTTAGTAGGGATGGGGTCTCATTCTTGCTCAGGCGGGTCTCAAACTCCTGTCCTCCAGCGATCCTCCTGCCTCAGCCTCCCAGAATGCTAGGATTACAGGCATGAGTCACCACGCCCAGCCCAATGCATAGCTCTTAAACTAACAGAATTAAAATAAAAAGTATAAAAATTACCTACCAAGCTCTTTCTTCCACTGGGCTTTTTTTGCTTCCAACAAAGTTCTATCATATTCCCTTTCCCCCAGAGTACTGAATATGTCACCTGGTTTCCATTCATTCTCTCTAAGGCAAAACACAAAAAATAACAGAAACCTTATCATTATGTTTCCACAGAGCTGACTTCATAAATACTAAGTAACAAGCTTTTAAAAAGCTCTAAGTCTTCTGAGTAAATACTTCACATGCAAGGAAAAATAAAATATTTCCAAGATGACCCCACAATAAGAGATATGAGTTACATACATGGCAATTTTCTGCTCACACTTAGATGTCTCCTGATTTTTCTTTAAGACAGATTTATTTTCATCTGGGACAGAAGAAACAGCCTCAGTTTTTTGGAGTAATCCCATATTGTTTTCGTCCTTTGGCTGATTAGGAATATTGTTTAAATGCAGACTATACTGGCCTAGGAGGTAAAATGCATCTTTTAAAATTAACACTAAATTATATCTATATAATACCATATTTTGGCATACTACTATACAGTTTTTAAAAATCTTATACATTACCTAATTTAACTCTCACAACAATCTTTGAGATAGTATTCTGTTTCCTTTCTGTCAAAAAAAGGGAAACTGAGGCCCAGCAGTTAAATGGCTTGCTCATGGCCATAGCCATACAACTTCTTACATCAAATAGGGAAGAAAATAAGCAACAGAAAAACAAACCTCTGTTTACTCTTGACAACATACTTTCACAAACAATATAAATTATAACATAAATCACAACCTAAAGGGGAATAAATGCTAACAGCTTAATAAGAACTCACTACCTTAACTTTATATTTCTCATTTAGCTATGAAATCAATGGAAAACCACTGTCTTTATGTCCCAGCTATAATTTCTAAACCAAATGTTTTATAACACTCTACTGCTCTTTCCAAGTCTGTTTTACACTGGTCAAAAAAAATAGTACTACCAATCTTTAGCACAGATTAAGGGACAGGACAAGCAAATGCAGGGGCCAGAAGGGAAACTAAAATCAAATCTTCATACTAAGGTTCCCTTAATTTTCACTAGAAATACCACAGTGGATGTCTTCAGAACATTTCATATCATTATTTTAAATATAAGTAAAGCCTCTAACATTTTAAAGTAAATGCAATAGTTTTTTGTACTAACAACTTTAGAGTCCAAGAAACCAGGTTTCCTAAGGCTAGGTGCTATAAGAATAATATCCTGAGCATTAACCTTAAAATATGGCATATGATAACTAAATTTTACATATTAGGGAAAGTCTTCTAAAAGGCCAATTATTTTAAAAGCTTGTTACATATTATGTTAGAATTTAAAAGGCACAGTTACCTAAAACCCAATAAAAATGAAATTTTGAAATGTATATTGAGAAAATTAACATTCATTAAAACTTTATAATAATCTTACTTTTTTCCTCCTTCGTTCCATTGTCAGTCAGTGAAACAGATCGATTTCTTTGGTTTACCGTCAATAAAATCTGTTGTAGTTGGTCTTGTGTTAGACACACCAAACTGCTCTTCGTGTTTCCAGCTGTGATGTGTTGTTTCTGAGGCTTCCGTTTAGCTCCTAGAGATGTACTTACAGTGTTTCTCGTCTTTTGTATATGAGAGGTGGCAGGTGCAATCTCTCTCTGGATATGAAGACAGTCTTTACTTATGTACTGCTTACATAAATCCTTAGTGGATGAAAAAGTCATTCCATTTTTTTCACCTTTCGCCTGTGAAGTTTCTGAACCAACTGTCTTCTTCTGCAAAAGTTTTTCACTCTCGACACAAGTATTTTGTGTTGATTTTAGAATGTGTCCAGTTTGTTTCATTCTTAAAGGACGTTTTGCAATCCTAGTCTTACTTCCCATCTGTTAAAACACAAGAATATCTTATAACAGTCCATAAAAAAAATCAATTATCTTTATATCATCTATGATAAATCAGTCTTCTAACCTTTATTCCATTTTGCTATTTATTACATAATATGGCCATAAGAAATTAATGCTTAACATTTGTAAATCTTTACTTGAAAGCTTCTTCCAACAACTAGAAATTATTATTTTACTTCAGGATAATGAAGAATGCAGAATTTCTATTGTAGTTGTTACAAGACATCTCCATTCTACTTTGAATCTCATAGTCATTAAACCATCCAGGCTACCCATTTTATTGAAATGAATCAACAGACCATAGTAATATTCCTTGAATACCTTA